TACGTTCCTATCTGCGAATATATCCGTTACTGCGGTCGATCAATACCTGGGTCCGTATCCAAACACACGAACAAGAGCTCCCTTCGATGTTTTGCCAGGCTCGTGGCTTGTTGGCTACGCCTAACCCATGCTCCCACAATATGTGTAGCTTCCATGGAAGGTAGTCGATGCGGCTTCCATGGGAGCTGGTCGAGTTTGACTTGAATGTGGAAGCCAAGACCGAGACTCGCATGGAAGTTACAGGAACGAACGTCTGTTTGTGGAAGCTATAATATGGAGGGATTCCACCTCGGGAAAAAACGCACGAGAAAAATAGGCCTGTGCTCCGAAGGTGATCACCGAAAATCACCGAACTTTGAAAAGGTCACCGAAACAAGTGAGGAGTTTGAATCACCGAAAAAAAAGTGGCCAATCACCGAAAACGGGAGGTGCCTCACCGATTGTTGCCGGCACCCACCGATTTTCACTGTTTTTTTAGGGGGCTCCGTGTATACCGTCTATACCCCCTGAATCCTATCAGATACCCCCCCCCTCAAGCGCAGCAGCACAGCAGCAGAGCACACAGCACACACCGCACGCAACCCAAGCACCGCGCTGAAGACACCACCCACGGTATACGGTACGGACACACTTGTGATATAGATGAGCGGTCTCCTCGGAATAGGGCTGTACTCTAGCAGTAGTGATGTCGAAGATTCCGAAGGTGAGCTTCTCTCCTCCTTGCCAGCCACTTCCCCTGCTCCCAAGCGCCATCGGCCTTCTTCTGCTGTGGGCGACAGTGCCAACGCCCTACCCCTGGCTGTTGCTGGAGCAACTGCTGAAGACTGTGAGGATATCTCCCGCTCGACACCCGCGTCCCGNACAACCCAAGCGCCGCGCTGCAGACACCACACACGGTACACAGTACGGACACACTTTGTGGTATAGATGAGCGGTCTCCTCGGAGTAGCGCTGTACTCCAGCGGTAGTGATCGCGAAGATTCCGAATGTGAGCTTGCGGCGGCGACGGCGGCTCCAGCGGCGGCGGCGGCTCCAGCGGCGGCGGTGGCTCCAGCGGCGGCGGCTACTGCTAGTGTCCCACGATCTTCAGCTGCTGTTTGGGTGGCTAACCATCATCGTGTCAGAGCTCGTGCTGCCGTTCGTAGCACCTTGGCCGCCCAAGGTCACAGCGACCGTCGCCATGGAGCCGGTGCTTCTAGCGTCCCCGCGCCTGGCCGTGATGTCGGGGCTCGTGCTGCCGGTCGTAGCACCTCGGCCGCCCAAGGTCACAGTGACCGTCGCAGTGGAGCCGGTGCTTCTACCGTCCCCGCGCCAGGAACAGGGACCTTACCGGCGTGGGTCCAAACAACTGGCGTTGCAGCCCCCCAAAAAGCCAACTCTAGTGCGAAACGAGCTCAGCAGAAACGGCAGGCGAGAGTAGAAAATATCGCCGACACCCTTCCTGTACCTAAGCGAGAGGAGCGCACCAACCAACCGCGCGCAGTCGTCTCAAACAGCACCAGGAGGGGAGAAAGAGCCGAGAAGGCGCAATCCTCGGGCCGCAATTTTGAACCGCGTGGACCGAAGCGCGCGCAGACCCCCAAGAAAGACGCCCAGGTGCCTGTACATCAACGGATTCGGGAATTCCCCAACCAGTCTCTCAACGTGATCAACGAGGGCCTGATGGTGTGTCGCGCGTGCCATGGCAAGGTCATCAAACTACACAAGGACCGGGTGAAGACCCACTGCAAAGGGAAGAAGCACATAACAATGTGCTGGAGCTGTTCGAGACCAAGGAAGCGGACAGAGTGAGTGACTGTTTAGTACTTCGTAGTTGTTTGCAATTGGTACTGCTGCTGTTTCTTAGGGTACGGGTGTGACTGTGTGCTTTATCACAGAAATATTGTGTTCGCAGCTTGTGGTTGTCAAGTGCTGCTGGGTGCGTCTCTGCCATGTTTTTGCATGGCGCATGTTCCCTTCGCCATAACGCTTGTTAATCGCAGCAGTGATTAATTTGTCCGCACAACTGCATCGCCATGCCATCGCTTGCTCGGCGGTTGTTGTTGCACAAGAACACGCTCCACGAGTATGCCGAGGTGTCGAAGAACACAGGAGGCATGTACGGGGACACCCTGAGCGACGAAGACAAGCTGACGCAGATCAAGGCGGTGAAGGGCTGTTTGTCGGCAGGCATCCCGCTGAACGCGATCGACAACCCGATTTTTCGTGCTTTCCTCAGCCACTGAAAGGTGGACTTGCCTCACCGTGCGCACCTGGCAAAATACGTGCCGTTCATCCTGGCGGAGGAGGTGAGATAGGCTTCGCTTTGGATACGTCTATGCTACCCATCAACCCGCAGTAAAACATGAAACATTGAACGCTTCTGCACATCAGCGGTTGCTCAACCCACAACACAGTCGTATGCAAAGCACAGAGCTTCTTTTCCTACCATTGCAACACGTTTTTAATCATCTCCCGCTGGCACCCCGCCGCCCATGTCTGTGCTTCGTGTTTTTATTTGATACAACAGCGCAAGACGCTCCAAGACGAAATCGGCAATCTCCCCTACGCCATCTGCTTCGACGCTACTCCGTGGCTTGCCGAGTGCGTCGGGTTGGAGGTCCGATTCATCGACTCCAGTGGAAAGGTACGTGATGGTTGGCACGGGGTATTGCCGTGTTCTCGTCTACTCTCGCGCTCGCGCGAGATTTGACACCAAGGAATCAACGGGCACCCGAAGTCGATCAGTTTAGCACATGACTCATGATTGTCGCGACATGCCGACAGCCTCATCAACCCTTCCTTGGCTCCCCCACCCCCTCTCTCACGCCTGCGTTTCCCACCCTGCATGTTATAGCCAGCCCAGCGTGTTCTGCACTTGAGCATGCTGAAGAAGAGCATGACGGGGGCGGACATCGCGGGCGAGGTTAACCGAATCGTCACCCATCAGTTCCGCCTCGACCCCAACAAGTGCCGCGCCGTCATCGGTGACAGCTGCGCGGCCAACCGCCTTGCTATAGATGCGCTTCTCCTGGTGTTCAGGTTCGCCGTCGCCATCCCGTGCTTCTCGCACACCTTCAACAACATCGGCAAGCAGCTGGTATGCAAGGAGATTGACGTGTTCCTGGGCAAGGTGCACACACTGCTTTCGCATAGCGCCTTTGCCAAGGACGTGTTCCGCAAGGAAGTCGGGGTACGTGCTCCCCAGACGCCGGGACACCGTTGGGGCTCCAGGTTCGAGCGAGACGAGGTTGTCGCCGTGAACTGGCCTGGTGTGGGGAAGTTCCTCGAGAAGAGAGCCAGGACGACATCAAAAGCAAGGCGGTGAAGTTCATGAGGGACGCCTGGCGAAACTCAGGGACGATGGCAAGACCCAGAGCTTGGTGCTCCAGTTACAGCTGGCTTTGACGGTGGACGTCGGCAGCATCATCACTAGCGCCACAATTATTCTGGAGGGGGATATGCCGCTGGTACGTATCTATTTGACGCCACCTCTCGCGTCTCTTCTTTTGGTGGTTCTCGTTCAGACTGACTTGTTCGAAAGCCTCCCCCGGTGATGCATGACACGTGTTCTCGTTTGCGCCTGTCCCTCCCGCTCGCCGATCATCTCAGGCGCACAAGACGTACAACGTTATTGAACGAGTCCGCAACAAGCTCGAGCTGTCCGAGGATGGAACCTTTACGGAGGACGTGCTGCTGCCCAACGTCGCTGCACTTGTCGCCAAGGAGATCGGCCAAGGCAATGACATGGTACGCTGTTGACCGTTAATTCACCCTGATGCTTTCGTTTTGCTTGTGTCGTGGTGTTTCCACCTGCTGCAGTTTTCCTATTTTGATAATGAAAAAAAGAACTAGCAGGCGGTGACATCCCCTCCTCTTGTTGTGGACGATTTCCCTTGCTTGCACAGGGAGCAACCGCTGACTTGATTCAGAACGAAATACAGGACATGCTTGACGCCCTCCGCACGTACGCACACGAGAGGATCGGCAGCCACTCTGAGGCGAAGCTGGCTGTAACGATGAAGCTCTTCAAAGCCGCGAAGCTCGTGGACTTGAAGACTCACAAGTACTCCAATGACTGTGATGCTTTCGTTTTTCTTGTGTCGTAGTGTTTCCACCTGCTGCAGTTTTCCTATTTTGATAATGAAAAAAAGAACTAGCAGGCGGTGACATCCCCTCCTCTTGTTGTGGACGATTTCCCTTGCTTGCACAGGGAGCAACCGCTGACTTGATTCAGAACGAAATACAGGACATGCTCGACGCCCTCCGCACGTACGCACACGAGAGGATCGGCAGCCACTCTGAGGCGAAGCTGGCTGTAACGATGAAGCTCTTCAAAGCCGCGAAGCTCGTGGACTTGAAGACTCACAAGTACTCCAATGACTGTGATGCTTTCGTTTTTCTTGTGTCGTAGTGTTTCCACCTGCTGCAGTTTTCCTATTTTGATAATGAAAAAAAGAACTAGCAGGCGGTGACATCCCCTCCTCTTGTTGTGGACGATTTCCCTTGCTTGCACAGGGAGCAACCGCTGACTTGATTCAGAACGAAATACAGGACATGCTTGACGCCCTCCGCACGTACGCACACGAGAGGATCGGCAGCCACTCTGAGGCGAAGCTGGCTGTAACAATGAAGCTCTTCAAAGCCGCGAAGCTCGTGGACTTGATGAAGACTCACAAGTACTCCAATGACGAGATCCGCAGCCTGTAGGTATTCCCCTTTGTCGGCGATGACATGCTGGACGGGCTTTTGAAGGAGAAGAACGACTTATACGTCGCCGCCACCGACACCGACGCTGACTACGACAACATGACTTTCTGGAGCGACAACAAGATACAACTCCCTACGTGGCACGAGTTGGTGTTGGATGTTGTCCTTTTGCAGCCGTCGTCAGCATTCATGGAACGCGTTTTTTCCATCTTGCGGTGTTGCTTTAGTGAATGTCAAGAGTCGGTGTACAGCGACCGCATATGCGCTTCCGCCTTACTGAAGTACAACAGGGGAAGGGGAAGTAGCAGAGGGGTGAGGCAAGGGAGTGAGGATGCTCCGGAAGAGGGTGACGGTAACCTGTGATGAAGCTTCTTGTTTTTTTGCCTACGTTGTGGGCGAGCCGGGCTCTGGCTGTAGTGCGTAGTGCGTGCCTGTGTACCAGGTCGGTAGGTAGTCAGCAGTTGAATCATTTCTGAGGGCATCTAATGTTGGTGAGTTGACGATGAAATACATGCGTACAAAAAAAAGCCACCAAAGTTCGTACAATACTTGACTTGGAGTTACTACGATCCTTGGAACATCGCTGAAAATCGCCGAAGGACGTTTTTGGACAGCTCACCCCAATGTTACTTCAAATTATCACCGAAAATCACTGAAAAATTTTTTTGGGCTCTCACCTTTTTGTTATTTGGCCACCGATTTTCACCGAAAAACTTTTTCGTGCAGCTAGATATAATCACCGATTTTTTTTTGACAATCGGAAAAAATCACCGAAAAAAAAAAATCATCTACGGAGCACAGGCCTAGAATTTCTGCAGTACAGCTCGTCTGTTTTTTTTTTCCATTTGGTGCGTTTTTTTTTCCGCGTTTGAAAGAAGCAAACTTCATGTGCGCACACGCACACATCCACCTTACCGCACGACACGTACTCCGAGAGCACAGCTATCAATCCCTGAGGCAACTGGTGTGGAACCGGCACGCGTTGGGGTCATTTCCGGTGAACGTTTGTGTTCAAAAAAACGTGCTGGGGGCGTGCGTGGTGGGTGTGGTTGGGACAGCTTATCACCCGCACCACCAGTGACCGCGGTAGCCGCCTCTCCTACGGCGGACTTCGTATGCATCGCCGCCCCTTGAGGGAGGTAGCGAGTCATCAGTCACACCAGCGGTCAAGTGCTTGGAAGTCAGGGTTAGCACAGTTCACCCGGCGGCGTGGTTCGAGTTGGGAGCGTGGTTTGAGTTGGGAACGCATCGGAGTTGCCGCATTGCCACTACCGCCAGGACGAGGAAAAGCTCCTCCTCTCCAGCCACCGTACACAGCAGAGCCGCCGTAATCATCTGCATGCTTCGGCCATGCCTCTCATGCCGAATCTTACCACGCTGTAGGCGCGCCATTTGCTTCAGGACGCCAACGCGCGTCCCAACATTACGCCAAATCACGCCGCCGCGTGTTCCGTGTTTGCGGAAATTTTCTCTGACGCTATGATCCCATTGTTAATCTGTCTCTGACTCTTTTCTATGATAGAGATGGACTCGTTGTGTCATCTTAAGAAAAAAAAAACGAGGAAGTAAATGTAGGAAATGTTCATCATGTGCAACTTCCTTAAAAGCTTGAAATGGCTTCTTCTATGGTCGTCTCGTTTTTCACTGAGTTATCCCATCAAATATCGGCAGCTTCCATCGAAGTGCCACCGTTGCTTTCATGGCAGTCTCGTTCTTCCATGCAATTGGCCGGGGACTACGTCGAGGGAGGGACTTCCTTCCTGGAAGTTTTATCTTTCCATGAAAGCTCTTCGCGCTTTCGTAGAGGTAAACAATGTGACAGCACCAGAGGAACCAGAGATTGTACCCACGGCTTCCATGGATGGATGTCGATCAACTTCCATTGAAGTTGTTGATAACTTCCTCCATGTAGAAGCATCGTTGAAGATGGTGCTAGAAACCGACCACCAGATTACATACAGCTTGCCTACGACTTCCATGGATCGGAATTGAGTGGCTTCCATGAAAGACTGTACAACTTCCTTCATGGAAGTTTGTACAATATCAAAAGTTTGTAGTCCATGTAGATTACGCCCGAAATCTGGAACCTGTCCATATTTGCCAAGCTGTTGATTTGGCCTGCCGTTTCCCCCATAAAATTGACAGGTTTAGGTTGTTCTATGTTGGTTCACAGCATGCATACAATGTATTGCGTTCGTAACGGAGGTGTAGTCCCAATCTTTGGATTCTATACGACCAACAGAGGAGTTCCTGGAGCTAGCACCAACCCCAAGTTCCGCGATCGGTTTCGGTACAAGTACTGTACATATTACATCACCAGAGCGCGAAGACATGATATCATGGAGTAACTCTCAACCTGCATACCCTACAAAGAGGGCAAACGTTGGGCGTTAGTGCACTCCCTATCCCCGACATGAGTTAGGCGTAGCATGACATTCGGGCCCACCACCACCGCGCCTGGATCTATCTCCACAATACGAGCCTAGCGTTAGCTTTGTACTCCGCCTAACTAAACTGGTCTTTTGGTGGAACTGGACACGCGGTAGTCGTACAGGTGGTACACTGCTGTGACCGCTGAGTGATAACCCAGCAAACCATCGAATATCCAGACTACTGGCAAGTGCTCCACGCTGTAGAAACGAAGAACCAAGAATCTGGACACGAAACTGCTGTCCATGTTGTACATCTTTTTGTCCGCGTCCATGCTGTCGACTTCGTTCAGAAGGCCCCGGGTCTAGTCCGTGGGATTACGTTGTTAACGAACTCATCCAAGAGCTTTGAGGTGTCGCTTCATCTTCGGTCGACCAACTAAACGTTCTACCCATAGACTTTATGACCAACATCCGAAGATTTTCCACGGAAACAAATGAGATACATTTCAATCATGTTCTGTGCTGGATGATGACACGTTGTTCTTTATTCACGGTGAGGAGGTACTCTTGTTGCGGGGATTCTATGCTCGTTGCGCATCCTGAAGCAGGTTCGTGCCTTGATTGCCGAGGGCTGCAGACAGATGGGTGCGACCGATTACCATGAAGCCCTTGCAATCGCCTACTGGGAGGACCAGGTGACCGAAAGCGACAACCCATATGACAGGGTGTTAGCCTAAAGAAACGAAAGTAATGCCTGCATGTATTGTGGTGCACACAACCACCGCAACGATAGACCTGAGGATACGAAGGAAACTGACGTTATTGACGATATAACGTCGTCAGGCTAAATGACCAGAAAAAGCAATTCCCTCCGCTTTTTTTACGCCTCCACACATATGTTGTGCTGATATGAATTTGTCCTCCTTGATAGTTGTGATTATACAAGCATGCACCCTATTGGGCTATAGGTATAGCTATGTATGCATACCATGCGACTAATGAAGACGTTCGCGTCAGTTGAGCCACTACGAACTTCAGAAAGCACGTAGCCGCCGGTACGGTTTTATTGTTGTGAGTTTGGCAACGACGAGAACAACAACAAAACAACAAGGTTCAACGACAGGGGGTGTTCCTGCTACACCGAGATTTTCGAACGTTTGTACAGACATGCGTGGTGATTTGCGTTTTCGGATCCTAAATACCGAAGAACATCGGGCCCAGCTATTCAGTGTGCAAGTCTCGTCGTCTGCTCCCAAAACGTTTCCCGTGATGAGCGGTTGTGAACATCTTCCTTCCCTGTGCTTTGTACTGTCGTCGGCACGTGGTGATGTGTTTCTGGATTGCGCAGATCGAAGGTCGCGGCTACACTCGTACTGGATACATCTTCGAGACAACCGTTAGAAAGAACATCTTCCAAACATTCTTGGGAAAAATGGTGGAAGCTGCGGAAGAACTCCCATTTTTCGTGCTCGAGGTAATAGCGACAAAGTAGAAAATACAACTGAAGTACTGTAGAAGATTAGCATTCCATTCAACGTTTTGATATCGACATGTGCTTGGCGGCGCTTTTCTACCGTAATGTCATGCTCTCCTCATTCTTCCTTCAGAGAGAGGCGGGAGCGCCTTCAGCTCCGCAGCATTTTCGCCGTAGTCGATGCAGCCACCATACGTTCAGTGTGATGTATTGCTATTGTTGTTTGCGAGGAATGTGGCTGACCAGGAAACAAGTTCTCGTTGCACACGTGAACGATTTTTTACACACGTAGAAAATTCTCGTACACTTAACCCTTGTTTTCGAATGTCTGGATATCGCACATCTAGCCTTGTCTCTCGAGCTATCGATGCGATTGTTCCGTCCGCAAAGCAAAAATGCGGAAGCCAACACGTCTCTGATTTTGTTTTCGCGTGTCGTCCGTGGGCGGCGCTTAGAGTGGTAGCTGGGAAGAGGCGTCAGCATCATGGGTTGCGGAGCACCTCTTGAAGCATTCAGAATCACTCCTGGTCTGCCTTGACACGTGGGACGGAGGCCAAGAAATGGCGAACACAGGGTTCGACATGGTCTCTGTAGAGGTATTATTTTGCCCTTGCACAAGTTACCGCGACAGCTACTCAGAGCGTGTGCGTCTCACGTACGTTGACCACGTGTTGTAAATTGCGAACGCGCGTTGTAGAATATAGAGAAATCTCGGCAGCTTCAAGGCCTCGAAACGATTGGGGGCTTGCTCTCTCCGTCTTGTGAAACTCCGAAGTCGTTAGGAAATAGTTGTTCCGATGCATCGCGACGTAGATTCAAACAGGTCCTCGAACCATCCTGACATGATGTATCAGCATCGGGGTACAAGGGTACTCGCTATAGATCTCGACTTGAAACGATCATCCTGCAGCTTCCATCTGTGGTTCACGTTCCACATCTCGCGCCCACTCGAATTGATCACCATCCGGAAACCCGCTCAACGAGACCATCAGGAGCGGTTCCACTGGAACACGGGGAAGGCCCCTAATGGCGAACGCGTGGTCGCTTTCAAGGGCGACTCGCTGGAATCCTTGGCAGGCCTTGTCGCGAGGGGTTGACCTCGTCGTTCGATGTCGTCTACATCGATGCTTCCCACGAGGTAAGCTTAGGAGCGAAACAGATGGAAGGGGGCTACTTCCCCACCCGTTTCAGCAAAGCATGAATGCGTCACCGACAGCCGAAAGGATCCACTACTGTGCCCGGTCGGCGCTGTGTTGATGTTATCTGTGTTGGAGCACGGCTCACAGGTCCACGCACCTGGCCGTGAATTTGTGGGCAAGGAAGGACCGAAATATGGCTGCACTCGCGTAGTATCATTGACATGAATGGGTCGAATCTACGGCATGAATCGTCGATGGCTACATGCGGCTACTATGACCGTCGCGTGATCAGGGGTTAAGCCTGGGCCGTGCAGTCGGCTGCGTTGTGATTTGAAGCATGGAGTATAGTCATTATTTGCGTGGTGTGAACGAAACCAGATGCTATGCACTGGGCCACACGCTTGCTGAGTGGGTCGAGGTTTCATCGTAGGAAGCGGACGTCGGTACGCAGTCCAACACTAACACTTGCACAGACCACATAACGCACACACAAGCCATTTAGGCTATATTGGTGGAAGTTTGGCATCGACCCTCACCGCCCACCATATATCATGCTCCCCGCGCGCCACGCCCCTTGGGTTTTCGTTACTTGGTGAAGACGTTGAAAAACACGCCGATCGCTTCGTGAGCTCGACAACCGGGTTACCGCTTTTTTTGCGGTTGCCGTGATGGTGGTCGAGAAGATCATGTTGTGCTCGGTCGAGAACCTTCACTCGACGCAAAGCGTATGATCGCACCACGTGGTGTTAAATTGATCAAGTACCCTCAAGGCAGTTACACAGTGCTCAGAAAATATATCAAGTGATTCATTGCTGTCATCCGTAGCAAGGAAGTACGCACGACATGCCGGACACCCTTAGCAGGATGCAGCCCATTCTGCGTGCGACTCGTCGAATACCTCATGGCGCGTCTCTCTTGGTGTGTGAGAGCTTGGTCCGGTGAGAACCTGGCGCTCCGTCCCGGCTTTGTAGGAATGCGAGGTGAAAAATTTAAGGACTACGCCATGCACGGCTATGAGTACACCCCCTCCCGCAACCCACGCTGATCCCGGTCATCAGATGAAGGATGTACTGGGGGATGCGCTCTTGTCGTTTCGGCCGCTCAAAGTGGGGGGGTCATGATATTGGACGACTTTGGGATGGAGGGGGTAGCGCGAGCGACGGCGGCGTTTGAAGAAGCTCTCTGGGACTCGCTACAAGTACTTCACAAAGACAAGGTGGGTGCCTGATTGTACGTTGATCATATTCGAGGGAGACGTGCCGGACTACAAAGGAAGGAGTTTTGTGAGGTTTGAAGCCAACTTCAGCGGGCACAAACGATAGATGGGTGTCCCGTTCTCTCGGGCACAATAGAGAAAACGTGTCGGACAAATGGCTCTCCTCAGGTTTAGACATAGATCGGTTTCCACCAGTATGTTAACGTTACTTTACAAACGAATCATGATGTGACTCCGCATTGATCTTTTGCTTGACGAAGGCTTGCTGAGCCCTGTTCTTGGCTGACCGTTTTTCCTCTTTACCACCGTGTGTGATTCGTTGTGTTTTTGCTTCTGACAGAACCTCTTGGTGGCGACTAAAGTGGCCGACGATCCGTTAACGACGCATGACAGTGAATTGGTGCTTGGCGAGAAGTCAAGACTGGACGCTCTTTCTAGCCGTAAGCCAATGGCTCAAACCGGAACCGCCACAGCTTTCGCCGCATCTTGAAGGTTGCTCACGTGGTCTGCATATGTCACCCACGTCGCCGCCGGCTTCGACGTCGTCGTGCGTGGGAGTGTTACCGTGATTAAAGGAGGAGAAGCGCAGTAAAATATTGTTCGGCCAACAGATATGCAGAAAACACCCCGCCATCTTGTTTGTGAAGCACATATGAATTTGTGACCGTAATGTATTTTATCATTTAGTCATGTTGCTGTGCTGCTGTGCTACGTTTGTGACGTACAAGTATCATGAGGTTGTTGAATTAGTATGGTACAGCAATGATGGCGAGGAATCCCTGGTGTTTCTCCAACCAAGCCGGGGGAACCAGGGATTGGAGCGAGTCATGGATTTGCCAGGCATCACGTTCTTTGGTCCATATACTTTTTTGTGCTCTACCAGGAGTTTTGTGGGAGCCTGTGGCATACATAACTTCTCCAGAATACTCAAACAACGTTTGTTGAGATTGGCTATGATGTTCTGATGACCAACATATCGAGCCATGGCTCGTATGGAAGGAAATAGAACCAAACGACCGACGATAAAGGTTTTTAAAAAGGGGGCGCAGGTCGGAAGAAGCTCAGGGAGGCATGGTATTCGCCAAGAACTGTTGTTGTCGTAAAGTCGAAACACACGGCCGACTCAGAATGTTCTCTGCTCTTCAACCGAAACCGGTTGAAAATTATGATTGATTACTTGCCAGTAGGCAAACAGCTGTTGCAACAGTATGTATGGTTGGAACTGGTTGCCTGAACAGCGCCCTCGTGCCCGTCTTGCTCTTGTTCCCACAAGATAAGCTGCCCGAACCAATCATTTCTGTATGAGCCACATCAATAACAGAAACACACAGCCAGTGAACCCACTCTCGATCAGCACACCTGCAACGTCGGCATTCTACTATTTCCCTGACTGTCATCATCTTCTTCGACAAGAAAGCGGGCACAAGCGACGACGTCGGCTTTATCCTTATGCAGTCGAGGCCGTGGGGTTCCGGCTGGTCAGCTTCTGCAGTCTTGAACTGTCGCCTAGCAGTAGTTCGCTGCCGTGTGTCGCAAAGCGTTTGTTGGCCGCTTTGCTCACCACCAGATGGGTCTGCCAACAACGGCCACAAGCACATGAGCAAAAAAAAACGACATTCGAGAATAGCATGTAGGATACTCGTTTGCTGGAAGGATCGAAAACACTAGGGCATATTTTTTCTTCCTTCTGCTGTTTTGGGTTGTACTCACGCCTCGACTGACTTGGACGGCGTACATGTACGCTACCATTCCAGACCCCCCCTCAGTATTCTCTCTGAGAGGCAAGAACTGAGGTAGGTGAACATGCCGCAGCGAGAAATGACCCGAGGTCAAATTCAGGCAGTGGCCGACAAGCGTATTGTTTTGGGTTTACGTGCTGTGTTTTTCCGGCGAATCCCGGCGCATACTCCATCCAGTAGTTTACTGTCCGCCACATCCGGCACTACCTCAAGCCATGGTCAGCATCGCGCAAAAGTAAACCAACCGTATTCTCCATTGCATAGTTGCCCACGCCGTCCTCATGGGTCTGAGAGACTCAATGTGTCCTACGCCTTGTGCACGTGCTTGTTCTCAAGTGGCTTGCAATGAGGCTTCGAAGACAAGCCAGGGTTGTAAGAATCCTACCTCGTCGCTGTGCAAAACTTCGAGGTAGTCTCCGAGGGCTTCCTCGAATGCTGCTGTCGCTTGCGCTACCCCTCGCATCCAGTAGTCGTCGAAGATCATGACACCTCCCACCTTGAGCATGCGGAACGACAAGAGCGCGTCCCCCAACACATCATTCATCTGATGACGGGGTACGGTGTAAATTGGGGGGAAATGATTTTGGGAGGATAGGAGGGTCACGATCAGGGTTCGGTTCACCGCTCGTTCATTGTCGAACATCGCGTTTCGGCCAGTTGTCGTAGGGCCGTTCTATTCCTCACTCATTGTTTCGTGGTGCGTGACGATAAGGACCGGGAGAGGGATGGCATCGACAACTTGCAACCTTTGTCACCGCAAGAGCATTACCAATAGTTGAGAAAAAGAAACACCATTCGTCGGATACAACTCCCGATGCCGTGTGCGTGCAGCTTTTCGTTCAAAAGATTGTCTGCAGGTTTCTCAACAGGTCAGTATACGAACGTCAGAACCGCGTTTTTTCCGGGCATCCACCCCAACTACTGGTGGGAGAAAGGGCTGGCAAGTTGGAGCAGTCAAGCACAGGGTGATTACCTCAAAGCCCTTGGTGAAGTGGGGAGTAGGTTCTTGGGGGATAGCTGCTGACAGAGAGGGTTGGTACTTTGGGCCCTACCGAACGTGTTGGGTTCAATGATATTATATAATCAATCCACGACCGAGCTTGCTCAGCCTGCAAACTCTTCTGAAGGTCAATCCGGTAGAGTCACGGATGTAAGATCGCTTTCACGATCAAACGTCAAACCACGAATTCCGTCAGATCCCGTCGTATGTGCCCCCCACAAGCAGGAGCCGCTCCGACGCCACGTTTTCACGAAAAAGCTACAAGAGAAACGGGCTGGGCTAAATAATACCCTAAGTACGGTCACACAACCCGGCATTGCCGGCACTACAACATGGTTTTCTGGACCGGCCGAGCAAAATCCCGCCAAATCGTCGCCAATCACGTGCTACTCCTAGAGCCTACGTGTGCCTTCCGCATGTCGTACATCACCTCGTGTGAACCATCTAGCAAGACAGCATCGAAGCGAGAATCAAGCCCGCTGGCCAGGATGTTTGCCAGAGACTCAAGAGAGCTGCCTTTGAAGGCAACCACACGATCGCCATTCGGGATCCTAGCCATGTTCGAGCGAAATCGGTCCTGCGTGCACAGATCGAACAGGGTTTAGATTTCCAGGTGCGCGGGCTAGTATGTTGCGAAAAAATCTTCCTCTATCCAGCTGCCTTGGGGGGTTGTACAGTTTGCGGACTGAGTAGAAGGGTTGACTAATCGGTCATCCCTGGACATATAGAAAACACAAATAGGTGTTTTTTTCGAATTATATACTTGAGAATCTTCAGCCTGGTTGGGGTCATCGCAGCGTTACAAGATAACGCAAGCCGTAACAATACAATCACCCTCAAGGATCACACAATGGAAACATCCCGGCCGATATTCTTCGTGTGACAAGTACGTCTAGAAAGGATTGGGGTATTCAGAGCTTTCGGAGGAAATAAGCTGCTTCGGCTCCGTACATCAAGTGGGCAGGGTTTGGCTGTAGAAGGTTTGCAAGCGAGCTATAGCCGTTACCTCTATAGCAGCCATGTCGTATCCGGAGTTTTCTGGCGGTGGACTCCCATTCCATTTGTCCAGGCAGACAAGAATAGATTCTGGATGTTTCAAAACATGCTCCGCGATCCATGATGCCGACTCCCCCTGCCAGCTGCCAGTCTGAGCGCAAAGCCGACAAAAAGAAAGACTGTATTCCAAGCGCATTCTTCGTTCGGCGTACCAATCCAAATTCGAGCGAAGGGCGTCCAGCATGCTATTCACAAGCGTTGCTCGTATGCCCTCCGTATTTGCTCCGTATACAGCCAAACAAGAGGGATTGAGGAAATTCGGTAACTACCACACTTTTCGAGTCTATTGAGGAAACTTCTGACAAACCAGCCCTAGCATGTTTGTAACATCCCAACATTTATTGCAGTGGCGATGCCACGCTTGCGATGGCATCCGCCTGGAGTGAACCCTGATGAAACGTTAAAGGTTGAAGTCTATATGCTTCACAAGGCTACGATGAGCAATAAGTGGTCAAACCTTACTCTCAAAGAGTGGTCTACATGTCGTGACCCCCAAGTTTGGGACCACGACGCCACGGTACAGCACGTGCGTTGCAAATGTTGGATTTTCTGCGGATTTCATTAGATTCTTACCTCAAGAACGTGAAACGGCTGTTCTTCCGCCAGTCCCGCCATCACTCCAAAGAACCGCTGGAATATACCTTTTAAACTTGGGTTCAGCACTAATCCTGTACGATTTTGCTCCGCACGCCAGGCTTTGAGCTGCACAGGGCGCACACGCACATCACGAGAGGCAAACCCGTGCCGAGCACCAGGGGGGGCGGGAACAACACATTTCTTGCCATTTAACACAACCGCATGTTTTCGTTCGCGCACGTCACGCAGAGATTCGGCCCAAACCAGTGGAGCAAACTCCTTTTATGCACGCCTAACCACCATTTTGATTGATTTGATAGAGACGTATGGATAGTATGGGGCCACAGCCCAGCGTAGCAGCAATGGCAGCGAGGACCCTGAACGGAGGAAGGCCCCTTCGAAGCTCGTCGCCAATGGTCGGAATGTGTGTCGGGGGAACGGTGGAAGTTTGTTAAAACGTAGAACATATTATTGAGATGCTGGACAAGGTAGGCGTTCAAAATCAATCGTTGACGTAACTTCGCTCGTTGCGCACGACCATCGGCATATGACGAAAACGTCTCCATTTCCTGTGTTCACATTTTCAACCACTCCGATCTTTGCTCAGTTCCTCCTACCGGAACTAGTCCAACTTACCAGCGCGGACATCGTGCGCTACCTCAAAAGAGCAAGAACGCATGTTGTATTCAGAAGGAAGAGGATCCCAAGAAGCAAAACACAAGCAACAATGACAAGAACGTAGGAACCACAAAAGGTCATTGCGAGGCAGATTATTGCGAGACAGCAATAATTGCGTTCAACGCACCACGCCCAGCATCGCTGGGTGGTTTGCCACTCACCGTGATAAAGCTTTCTTGGTGCTTGATCACAAGTCTTCCTGCTCCTAGTTGTGACACTCCTTGTGTCCCACTCACATGTTTCCTCAAGTATCGGGGAGAATAAGGCCGCGTTGATTGGCTCGTGACGCTCATGTGGCACTATCGTGTCATCGTCGTGTTCGACCGTCTCGGGTACAAATGGTCGGCTGCTGTGCCAGCACAACAGAGTTTTAACACCCACCCTCTAACCCAAAGCTCGGGATAGAGAGCCATCGTTGTCTAGATCCTACAAAACCTCGGTTGACTAGACTGAGATTTCCTTCTGCTCACATCCTTTGGTACCTTTTCCTGCTTCCACTGGGTCGTGATGGACATGACGTGTTCATCGCTGACGCCGGCATCCCGACAGCCCTCGGCGATCACCGCGCTAAACTGTCCAAGCAAACACAACGGGGACAATGACACACCATCTTGTTTTTGAGGAGTGTGCTTACCACATCATCTGTAGCGATCACCGTATGCATGTGCTTCGGTTGTAGGGCATGTGTACCGTCAAATATTGGCGACGCTCTCAAGTTGACTATCACGGGATAACCTAGTTGTCCAAACGTCCATGAAAGCTTTTAGAACTTCTATGGAGGAAGCCATACATTTTCCATTGAAGCGGAATAGAAACCGTATGGAAGCCGTATGGAAGCCGTTGGTCGGTTTCTGGCGCCAGCGTCCATGATTCTTCGATCGAACCTGTCAATAACTTCCTCCGCAAAAGCCGTGGGTGCAAACCGTTGGTTGCTTTCTTCGTGGAAGTCGCATGTTAAGCTTCCACGAATGACGAAGAGTTATGGAAGTCAGAAATTTCACTATGGAAGTTCGTACCTCGGCTTAGCCTCGGCTTTTTTTCATGGAATCACGAAAACGTTCATGAAAGCAACTTCGCTACGATAGAAACTCTGTGGAAGCTTTTGATTCAAAACTCCACGGACGTCAACATGTATGTTCATATACTAAAACGAACTTGAACGGGCTTTCCTGTCGTTTCCATAGAGGAGGAAGTCTCTCTCGATAATCGATTCCATGGAGTTGCAATTCCATGACAGCTACGCACAGTTGTCAAATATTGTGGGAATTTCGGATCATATGCGGGGAAGGACTACACTTGAGTGTTGTATGAGATATGGAGATGAAAGGAAGTATCAACGGCATCACCGATGACACCCGTTCGTGTGTACACTGGAGAGAAGAATCATTGAACCGCGTTTAGCAGCTTTGAAAACTGACAGACTATTCTCTGTAGCCCCTGACTGGCCAGAGAAGAAACGAAAAACGCAAAAAGGGTAGGCTGTCAGCTATATGCATGCTTAGACTGTTCGTGAATTGTGGCTGTAGTATCGAATGTATGACGTGTATTGCGGTGTAGTAGGTGATACTTGGTATTGTAACGAAACGTAACACAAAGGTCAGTAGATTGCAGCAAGTAGATTGCAGCGAATAGATTGCAGCGAATAGATTTATTGCTGAGGAAAAGCTGTAGCGAGAAGCCATGGGGAGCGCAGCCCACCGTGTTCACTCCACCTTGCCGACCTGTCTCTCCGGGCAAGTTCTCATTAATACACCACATATTTCTCCAGAAGTCACGAGTTTCCAACACGCTATAGCGACAAAAGTCAACTGCTCCAACGTCCCCCTGGGCGGCACGAGACTGTACGCGAGAGGCCTGATCAACCTATCTCATCATGGCTGGTGAAGAAGGAAAGTCTGCGGATGACCCACCTCAGGGTAATTCGCAGGATGTTGGTGAGAGGATGGTTTCCCTAGAGACGCAGTTGTCCCAACTTACGACTCTAGTCACGTCGCTTGTTGGCCAACAGAGGGAGCAGGTGGAGTCCTCTGTTTCGGCTGCCGCGCCGGGAGGCGGCGGAACAGAGACTGGTACGCATCCTTTTGATGCTACTGGTAGGACCGCGGGAGGTACGGGCGGCGATGCCCAAGGCCTTGGCGTGTCCGGCATGCGGGTTGGGAGTAGCAGTCTTGTAGACTCAGGCTTGAACCCTCATGTGACTGCTGTTAATCGTTCCTCTGCTGGTGCTGCAAGCT